GATGTGGCCTCTGATCCAGAGCAGAAATGTCCTCTACAGTATCCCAGTTGGGGGCACGGGCTAGCCTGGCTTAGGACTTCCAGTAACAAGGAAGTCCCCTCCTCAAGACAAGTTTTTTATATTTTGAGCTGCAATCTGCCTTTTAGTAACTCCCTCCTGCCTGGGCCTGGGCCCCAAGTCTGTGTTCCTCAAAGGCAAAGACACAAAGATGCTGAGGTCCTCATGCCTGCCACCTGGACAGCTCAGGGATGATGGATGGATGGATGGATGGATGGATGGGTGGATGGATGGATGGATGGATGGGTGGGTGGGTGGGTGGGTGGATGAGCAGATGGATGGATGAGCAGATGGGTGGATGAGTGAATGGATAAATAAATGGGTGGGTGGATGGATGAATGAGGGGATGGATGGATGAATGGGTGGATGGGTGAATGGAGGAATGGTTTAGTGAATTGATGGGTGGATGGATGGATGGATAAGTGGATGGATGAGTGAATGAATGAATAGGATTCAGAAGTTTCAGTAATTTTCCCAAGACCACACAGCTCATAAGTGTCATATCCTATATTCAAATTCAGGTCTCCTAACTCCAAGTCCAGCACTTTTCCCACTCTCATTCTGACACTGCCTGTAAACTCTATGAATAGATGAGAGTGTATTTTAAAGGCATTCTATTTCATGTCAGGTGCCCAGGCCAACGACTTCACCCCAGTAATTTGAGAAAATGAAGAGGGCAGGAGAGCATGTGGTCCTAGGACCTAGACCAGCAGTTGCCTGAGGACCCATCAAAGTATACGGGCCTGAGACCCAACTCCAGAGACTCGGAGGTAGTAGATCTGGTGTGTGGCCTGGGACCTGTGTCTATTTTTAAAACTTCCCAGATGATTTGCATAAGAATCAGGAGTTGAGAGTCATCACTTGAAAAGGCCCCCCTCCACCTGGTTCCTCGGGTTGTCCCCAAGTCCTGATCAACACTCAGTCCCAGCTCATATCCTGGAACCAAACTCCAGGAGTTCTTGTTCAGGAAAGTAGAGAGAGATGAGGAGCGTCATTAGGTTAGGAAGAAAAACAACAAGAAGAGAAAACCAACCAGAATTAGGTTAATTTGCAAGAAGAACAAGGAAGTTTATTTACTTCCCACGTAAAACATGGAGGTCAGAGCCCAGGCCTGGCCTGGCAGCTCTGCTCCATAGAGTCCCTGGGAACCTTGCTCTTCTCAGCTCGCTGTGTCCATCCTTAGGGTGTGGCTGTATCCTCATGGCTCAAGATGACAGTGGTCACAGCCATCTCCTCTGCATATCAGGCAGCAGGAAGTGGGGAGCAACAAAGGAAAAGGGGGCAAAGGATGGGCACCAGATGCTTTTTTAAGGAGGGTGCCCCAAAGTTTTCATGGGACATTCCTGTTTGCATCTCATTGGCCAGAGCCAATGAAACAGCTTTTTCACATATGGCTGCACTTAGCAGCCAGGGAGGCTGGGATTTAGGGTTTTTATTCCAGGCAGCCGTGCACTAGCTAAAAAGTAGGGGGTCTGCTACTGTGGGAGCAGAGGAGAGCACGTATTGTGAGACAACTAGAAGTTTCTGTCTTAACATCCAAAGCACACAATTTCTGGAGAATTGATTTTAAATTTTGAAAATACACGAAATGTAATTGGCTGATGAAAGTTTTATACTTAGAGAAATCATCAATGCCATTTTTTGCATCTTTTAATTTCATAGAGCCTTGAATGAAACACAGGGACCCGTGGTGGTTCAATGGTAGAATTCTCGCCTTCCGTAAGGGAGACCCAGGTTCAATTACCAGCCAATGCACCTCATGCAGAGCCACCACCCATCTGTCAGTGGAGGTTTGTGTGTTGCTGTGATGCTGAATAGGTTTGAAAACCCTGTGGAGCACAGATCTACTCTGATACACATGGGATCACCATGAGTCGGAGTTGACTCGACGGGAAATGGAATTGGTTTTTGAGTGAAATGGCTTTTTCACGTGCTTGCATGCACACGCACACACGCACACACACACACAGTTTGACTCTGCCTGGTTACAGCTTCAGTCCTTTCCTTCCCTTACCAATCCACTCAGTGTATCCATCCAGTGTCAGAAAACTTCAATGGTTTGGTTTCATGCTATGCGGTTCAAAATGGCACATTTAAACTTGTGCTTGACCTCTCAAAGCCTTGGCGTCCTCATCTATAAATGAGGTAATAATAGATCCTACTTCACAGGTTGTTGAAAGAAGTTGCATTCTGCACCTGAAGGACTTAGCACAGGGCCTGGCACCTGGGTAGGCTCGCCGTAAATGTTACTCTCATCATTTTTACTATCAGGAGTGTTTTAGGAAAATCTTAAGTGTTCCATTGTTACAAAGCAGTAGCTTTTTGGTTTGAAATGGAGTTGGTTCCATCTTGTCTTTAGTTCTCTATACCAAGTCTTCAACTCACCTTCAGACCGAACGAGGGGCCCCCAGGATGTCAGGTGTGTAGCAGGTGTCTCACTACTTCTCAGTGACCGGAAATTATTGCAGTTCTGTTTTTTTTTTAAAGGAGAGAAGCTGCATGTTAGTTGACAACGTTTGTGAGACATCAGATCACCATCAGGGGTGAAAATCTGATTCTAAAGGTTTATCCTGCTGGGGAAATCAAGTCACTGGATAGATAAGTGTTGACAGAGGTATAGAGCGTGGGGGAGGCCAGGCCCACAGGTTCTGCCCAGGTAGGATGACACTGGAGCAGCCATGGTGGGTGGGCTGGCCATCAGGAGACAGGAGGGACTGAAGAAAGTGACGTACACACAGAAGTAAGAGGTAGAAAGCCCCACGACACGTCTTCAAGTACTAATGCTGGCCCCTTTGGTCCCTCTGGAGGCAACATCTCAGTTCCAACTCTCAGAAGCTACGCAGCAGTCATTTTCTCCTTTGAACACCTCTGCCTTCCCAAAAGGCTGCCTGGCTCCATGACATTCTGGAATCTGCTTACTATATACTCATCTCAAAGGAACTTGGAGAGAAATGTGTCACACTCATGCTATAAAGAATGTGAGACATTCTGACTATAAAATTCTGTGATCTTATTAAAATTTAATTGGGGGGTGCTGAGGATATAACAGGAGACCCTGGGTAGCACAAACAGTTAATGCACTCAGCTATTGACTGTGAGGTTGGAGGTTCGGACTCACCCAGAGGAACCTCAGAAGAAAGGCCTCACAATCTGCTTGAGAAAATTCAGCCATTGAAAACCCTATGGATCACAGTTCTACTCTGACACACATGGGGTCACCATAAGTTGAAATTAGTTTGATAGCAATGAGTTTGGTTGGTTTTTTTTGGAGGACATACATTCAAATTAAATTTCTCATAAGGAAAACTACAATATCGCTTTCTGTGAGCAAGAGTTACCCCTTCTGAGAAGCTAAGTAAAGCCAAATAACTTATTACCTATTATTTAAGTAGAGGAAGACTTTGAATTTCGTATCTTGAAAGAGTTTATTTAGCCACTTCCATTTTTAGTTATTGTACTGTTGTTAAGTTGTTAGGTGCCATCAAGTCAATTCCCACGCATAGCAACCTTACGTATAACGGAACTAAATGATGCCTCACATCGTTACTGTTTGAGCCCATATGTTGCAGCCACCATGTCAATCCATCCAGTTGAGGGTCTTCCTCTTTTTTGCTGACCCTCTACTTTACCAAGCATGATGTCTCACAGTCCTTGCTTCTAAGGAGCATTCCTGCCATACTTCTTCCAAGACAGATTTATTCATTTCTCTGACAGGAATTCTTTGCCAACGCCATAATTCAAAGGCATCAATTCTTCAGTCTTCCTTATTAATTATCCAGCTTTCGCATGCATATGAGGTGATTGAAAATCCATGGCTTGAATCAGGTGCACCTTAGTCCTCAAAGTGACATATTTTCTTTTTAACACTTTAAAGAGGTCTTTTGCAGCAGATTTACCCAATGCAATACGTCATTTGATTTCTTGACTGCTGCTTCCATGGGTATTGATTGTGGATCCAGGTAAAATGAAATCCTTGACAACTTCAGTATTTTCTCCATTTATCATGATGTTGTTTATTGGTTCATTTGTGAGGATTTTTGTTTTCTTTATGTTGAGATGTAATCCATACTGAAGGCTATGGTCTTTGATCTTCATCAGTAAATGCTTCAAGTCCTCTTCACTTGCAACCAGCAAGGTTGTGTCATTTGCATATTGCAGGTTGTTAATGAATCTTCCTCCAATCCTGATGCCATATTCTTCTTCATATAGTACAGTTCCTAAGATTATTTGATCAGCATACAGAATGAATAAGTATAGTGAAAGGATACAACCCCGACATACATCTTTCCTGATTTTAAACCATGCAGTATCCTCCTGTTTTGTCCAAATGACTGCCTCTTGGTCTGCATACAGATTCTGCATGAGCACAATTAAGCATTCTGGAATTCCCATTCTTTGCCGTGTTATCCATAATTTGTTATTATCCACACAGACAAATGACTTTTCATAGTCAATAAAACACAGATAAATATTTTTCTGATATTTTCTGCTTTCAGCCAAGATCCATCTGACATCAGCAATGATATCCCTTGTTCCACGTCCTATTCTGAATTCGGCTTAAATTTCTGGTAGTTTCCTGTTGATGTACTGCTGCAGCCGTTATTGAATTTTCTTTAGCAAAATTTTATTCGCCTGTGATAGTAATGATATTGTTTGATAATTTCTACATACTGTTGTATCACCTGTCTTTGAAATGGGCACATATATGGATCTCTTCCAGTCGCTTGGCCAGGTAGCTGTCTTCCAGATTTCTTGGCATGAACAAGTGAGTACTTCCAGCATTACATCCGTTTGTTGAAGCATCTCAGTTGATATTCTGTCAATTCCTGGAGCTCCAGTGATTGTACTAATAATCATAAATTGCACAATATACATTTTGATAAAATTTGTGCTCAAGTACAAGGGTAATTTTTAATGTCTTAATGATTGGTACTGCTCACTTGCATGATTTCGGAAGATGTAATTGTGAATACATGCTGTCAGAATTTGTAAAATTTGGAGATTGGCTTTTCACCTAGATTTACTTTTTAAAAAGCAACATGTAATCATTGATGCACTTAAACTAGTTGCCACTGAGTTAATTCTGACTCATGGCGACCCCATGTGTGTCAGAGTAGAATTGTGTTCCATAGGGTTTTCAATGACTGATTTTTCAGAAGTAGATTGCCAGGGCTTTCTTCCAAGGCAACTCTGGGTGGATTTAAACTACCAACCTTTTGGATAGTAGTCGAATGTGTTAACCATTTGCACCACCCGGCGACTCCTAAGATGCTTCTAAAAACCAAAAAACGAACTCAATGCCTTCGAGTCAATTCCAACTCATAACGACCCTATAGGACAGAGTAGAACTGCTCCATAAGGTTTCCAAGGAGCAGTTGGTGGATTTGAACTCCCGACCTTTCGGTTAGCAGCCAAATGCTCAACCATTGCGCTATGAGGTCCCCAAGATGCTTTTAGGGCTCAAATTAAAGCATATATGATTGTAAGGAAGTTGTGCCAAAGCATTCTGTAGAAGGAGACAGGGGTATTGTCCCAGCTTATTTGTAGAAGCAGAAATCAATTAAGTTGTATTTTAGGGTAAAACTTTTATCAACATATTTACTTCTTCCCCATTTCAAGCCACAAGTCAAATATTTTTTCTCTTAATAGATATTGTTGTTGTTTTTAGTTGCCATTGAGTCAGCTCTGACCATTGTGACCCCATGTACAACAGAACGAAAAGTTGCCTGGTCCTGTGCCATCTTCAGAATTCTTGGTGTGCTCGAGTCCATTGTTGTGACCTCTGTATTTTGATCGCTTTCCAACTTAAGGGGCTCGTCTTCCAGCATTACATTGGACAATATTCTGTTGTGATCCATAGGGCTATCATTGGCTAATTTTGAGAAGTAGAGCATCAAGCCTTTCTTCCTAGTCTGTCTTAGTCTGGAAGCTCTGCTGAAATCTGTCCACCATAAGTCACCCTGCTGGTATTTGAAATACTGGTGGCATAGCTTCCAGCATCACAGCAACAAGTAAGGCACCACAATACAACAAACTGACAAACAGATGGCAGTCTTAATAGGTACATCTATAATATTTTTCATTTGTTTTTTTATGAAATCAATTAATTCTTGTGCTATTTTTATATAGGTAAATATAATTTAGGAGTCCCTGGGTAGCACAGACGGTTAAGTGCTCAACTACTAACTAAACAGTTGGCATCTCCAAAAAAAGGCCTGGTGATCTACTTTCTGAGAAATCAGCCATTGAAAACCCTATGGAGCATAGTTCTGGTCTGTAATACATGCAGTCACCCTGAGTCAGAGTTGACTTGACTGCAACTGGAAAAATACAGTAACTTAGTCCATTTTAAGCTTTTTTTAAAAAAATGCATTGACACCCTTTGAGATATTTTAAGGCTAAAATCTGATCTTTTTGATTACCACAAAAATCCATTCAGAAGGAGGATATCAGCTGTCCACTCTTCACAATGGACTCAGTCACCTATCAGCTCTCCTCAGATATTTGTTTGCAGGTGTGTTCCATTTTACAGATGTTTTGATTCTCAGTGTATGTGCTGTATGGAGTCCCTGGGTGATGCAAATGGTTAATGTACTCAGCTTCTAATTGAAAGATTGGTGGTCACCCAGAGGAGTATTGGCAGAAGGGCCTTGTGATCTATTTACAAAAAATCAGCCATTGAAACCCCATGGGAGATGGCCCAAGATGGCAGCTTAGTCAGACACACCATGCTGTCCTCCTACAGCAGAAACCTGAAAAACCAAGTGAAACAGATACAGATGACAATCCTGGAACCCTGAGCATCAAAAGAAAGGATGAAGAACTGGGTAGAACACCAATGGGAAGGAGAAACTAAATGAAAACAGCAAACAAGGAGAGTTACAGATCAGAGGTGCCCTTCCAGCTGGCCCAGCACAGCATGGCCATCTTGAGACAAATCAAGCAATGACCCCAGGTGAGGACCAAAGAAAGACAACTTCATGGAATTCCCAATAGGAGACAGAGAAACTGTAGACAAACCTGGAGTGAAGCAAGTGAGCAGGACATGAACTGGATTTAAGAAGGGAAAGTACATGAAGGTGGGCAAGAGCTCCAGGTATCCTGTAGACCACAGAGCAGGGAGGGAGCCAGGAACCAGAGACAGGACCACTCACCAGCAGTGGTCGCTGACCATTAGGGTGGGTGGTACACACAGAGTAGTAGATCCATAGAGTGTCAGAAGGAGGTTCCCCACCCAACCAGAGTCCAGGCAGCTCCTCTCTTGTATTTGGTCAGGGCATGGGGTCCTGATTACTGGCTGCAGCCTACAGGGAGTGCCCTGGCACCCATGCCTGGTGACCAGAGGAGCACACTCCCTCTCCTTCCTTCCCAGTGACCAGTGGCATGAGCCCCCAACACCCTGCCTGCCCAGGGATCATATGAACCTCCTCTTCCCCCCCACCCCACCCCCACGACTGGCAATGTACATCC